ATTGAAAGCAGGGACTTGAACAGACATTTGCACACCCATGTTCATGCCAGCATTATTCACAATAGCCAAAAGGTGGAGGCAACCCAAGTGTCCATCCATGAATGAATGGATACACAAAATCTGGTGTGTGTGTCTACAGACACATAGTCTATTATTCGACCTTAAAAAGGCAGGCAATTCTGATGTATGAATGAACCCTAAACAAAGTCAAACACAAAAGGACAAATATTATATGATTCCACTTATATGAAATACCTAGAGTAGTCATATCCATGCAGAGAGAAATTAGAAGGTGGTTGCCAAGGGCTGGGTGGAAAAAGGAATGGGGAGTTTGTGTTTAATGGGTACAGAGTTTCATTTTGAAAAGGTAAAAAATGTTTCAGAGGCAGATGGTATTGATGGTTGCATAACAATGTGGATGTACTTAATACCACTGAAAAGTGTACTTAAATATGGTTAAGATGGCAAATGTTATGTCATATATATTTCACAATAATACAAAGCTTAAAAAAAGAAATGCAATTTCTGACACATGCTGCAACATGAACGAACCTGGAAAACATTATGCTGAGTGAAATAAACTAGACACAAAAGATCAACATTGTATAATTCCACTTCTGTGAGGCACCTAGCTAGAATAGGCAAATTCATTGAGAAGAAAAAAACATGGAGGTTACCAGAGGCCATGGGGAGGGGGAATGGGGAGCTATTGCTTAACGGGTACAGAGTTTCTGTTTGGCTTGATTAAGTTTTAGAAATATATAGTGGTGGCCAGGCGTGGTGGCTCACACCTGTAATCCCAGCACTTTGGGAGGCCGAGGTGGGTGGATCACGAGGTCGGGAGATCGAGACCATCCTGGCTAACATGGTGAAATCTAGTCTCTACTAAAAATACAAAAAATTAGCCAGGTGTGGTAGCGGGCGTCTGTAGTCCCAGCCTCTTGGAAGGCTGAGGCAGGAGAATGGCGTGAACCTAGGAGGTGGAGCTTGCAGTGAGCCGAGATCATGCCACTGCACTCCAGCCTGGGCAACAGAGCAAGACTCCGTCTCAAAAAAAAAAAAAAATTGAAATATATAGTGGTGATGGTTGTACAACACTAAGAATATAATTAACGCCACTAAACTGCAAACAAAGGCAGGCAGATTGATTTCTGGATGAGGGCAGAAACTAGTTCTCTGTGTTGCCATGCTTTTATGACTTGGCACAGTAATTTTATTTCTCTTAATTTGTTCCTTAATGGGTCCACTTCATTTTGGCCTGGCCTCTTGACCCCTTGCCTCAGTCTACCTGCCAGGACTTACTTCCTCATAGTTGCTCTTCGTGTGCCTGACCACATGTGCTGTCAATTTACCTGTCAAGTTCTCATGATTTGGACCTCATAAGCTAACCCTCTGCCCCAGGGCTCCCACCTTAACCAGGTACCATTGCCATCTGTTGATGAGAGATTTGCTCCGAGGGGAATGATTCCTGACCCACTAGAACCAGAAGCAGTGGCACGATGCTGTTTCACTTATCAAGTCTCTAACATCGGTGCCGACCACCCACATCTCACTTTGAAATAGATAATATAAATAAAAGGCTCAGATGTCAGCTCACTGTTTCCTATGACTGTGTGCCTTCATCGCTATACTTCCTGTCACTGACTTCCTCCTCTGTTCTGGAGAGGGGCTGTCCCTGTCTGCTGCTCCCTCCCCTCCTGCAGAAGTGTCTCTCTCATTGCCTGACACCTCACTGTCACCCTGTCACTGAGCCCAGCTTCCCCTGTACCAGAGACCTGGCCCTTCCCTGGACTTGCCCAGCTTCTTCCAGCTCTGCCTGTGATCGCCGTGTGACCTCTAGCAGCCTCCGCGCTCTCTGGCTCAGTTCCTCTTATTGCATCAGTCACCTCTGTCACCCAAGGTTCAGGGTTAGCACACTCACTCTTCTGCTGGCTAGACCCTGACAGAGAGAGAAATTGTGTTTCTATAGGGTCAAATGAACTGATGGTTTAGAAGTTCGATTCATGATGGATAATTTTGTCCCAATTCTTGTGATGGTTAATCAACTGACAGAATCCACAGCAGTCAACCTAATTCATTTATGATAGATGCCCTAAATCCACCACTTTTCTTTATGCCTGGATGGGAGTGAGGTATGGGCATTTGATCAATTACTCAGTAATTACGGACACAAATAAACCCTACAATGGTAGGTTCAGTCACACACAAAAACCGTACTACCTAGTCCTATTTCTTATCTGGAAATAAATAAAATGGCATTTTAGGAGTCACTTTCACAGGCAATGCATGGCTGGGGAGCAAAATAAGCATCTTCCATTCCTTTGAGCCCATGGGAGGCATAAGCTGGACTTCTTAAAATAACACCTTCTCCTAAATAAACTTGTACTGTGAGTCTGTTGCTGTGTGTACATTATCTCCCAAAGCATGTGCTATTAGTATCTAATTACAGAACAGGTTCCTGGGGCTCAGAAAGGTTAAGCAACCTGCACAGGATCACACAGCCAGTAGCAAGTCAAACAAAAGTTTTGAGTCATGAGTACCTAATGCCAAAGTCCGTACCCTTCCCGTTTACCAAGCTTGTTCTCTAAAAGCTGATCTGAGGACCTACTGCATCACTGTAGCAGAATTCAGAGTGATGAGACATGGTGGAGATCTCCAAGGGATTCAGAGAAAGAAGAAATAAGAATGAAAACCCACTTGGCATCTGTATTGGGGAGAAGGGACTGGAAAATGTAGAAAACAACTCATTATCCTTTGGATGAAGCCTCTCCCTCTATGGCCCAAAACACCAACTGGGCCAGATGCGGTGGCTCACGCCTGTAATCCCAGCCCTTTTGGAGGCCAAGGCAGGCAGATCACCTGAGGTCAGGAGTTCAAGACTAGCCTAGCCAATGTTGTGAAACCCCGTCTCTACTAAAAATACAAAAATCAGCCGGGCGTGGTGGTGTGTGCCTGTAATCCCAGCTACTTGGGAGGTTGAGGCAGGAGAATGGCTTGAACCCAGGAGGCAGAGGTTGGAGTGAATCAAGATGGCACCACTGCACTTCAGCCTGGGTGACACAGCGAGATTCTGTCTCAAAAAAGCAAAAACAAAAACAAAAACAAAACACAACAAACAACAAACAAAAAAACACCAACTGCAGCTGGGCAGAAAGAGTGGTCCTAAAAAGTTTCTTTACTCCTATTAGAGGTTTGCCCCTTTTAGAAAGCCAAAGCACTCATGAGAAGCTTCTAGAATATTCTCTCACTGGCAGACTTTTGCAATGGCTCTGCTGTCGTTTTCTTGACTATTATTCAGTCAGCATCACTCAGTTACTTTTCATCATGATTTCCCCTTGCAAACTTACAAACTGTTAATTCCATGAGTCCTGTTGATTCCTAAAGCTCATCTCATCCATGGCCACCCAAAAAGGAGAAAAGTTCTTTGAAAACTGAAAGCATCATAGAGATATGTATTTTTCTAAATATAATGCCTTAGAAACATACAGTACTTTGATATTTACAATAAATTTTTACTTACAGAATTCCATATAAAGTTTTATATTCCCAGTTTTAAAATGAGAAAACAGGGGTTCAGAGTCACTGCAACTCAACCAAAGGCTCACAGCGAGCATAAGGCAGAGCCAGGACTTGACTCGGGCCTCCTGACTTCAAGGGCCAGTGCTTTTTCCACTAGATAACATCGTCACCATTGTTCTTACGATTTCTATGAATGGGAAATAGTGGTACACTGTGGAGGATGCTGTCTTAAAAACCTCTAAGCCAAGCAACTCCACCTTATTCTGGTTACCGTCCTGGGAACTCATGTTCTAAATGAATGGCTTCCTTCCATCTGCTAAATCACCCCAGTGACACCTCGCTGCCCAGTTCCTTCCTCCTCTACTGATGTTGCCGGCCTAATTTAGGGAGCCTGTCTGGCAGGCTGGCACTGGCCTGCTTTTTCCCTCTCCTCCCTCTATTTCCCAGGCTCCCGAAATGGAACACAACTGTACTTTCATCTCTCTTTGCTCCTCTGCCAACTTGCCCAGGCTCTCCCAGATGCCTCCTTACTTTAAGCAAATGTTTTTGCATTGTTCTGGGAGTCTAATCCTTTTTTCCCTTTTTCCATATTAATGCTCTAATTTATAGCAGCAGTGTTAAGAAAAAAAAAAAGAAACAAAGAAGTTCATCTGTTTTATGTTTTGAGGGGCATGAGGGGGGCTTCTGGGGTGCTGGTAATGCTCTATTTCTGGAGCTGTGTGCTGCTTACACAGGTGTGCTTACTTGGAGAAAGTTTTCTTAAGCTGTGCCTATATAATATGTGTGGTTTTCATCTACATGCACGCTAGACTTCAATGAAGATGCCAACAATGGGGCAGGTATTTTGACAGTGGTGGTGAACTAGGCATTTCTACTCAAGTTCAAGCAAAGGCTGAATGACTTCCTGGCAAGCCTGTTGTGGGAGTCCCTATACCAGAAGAAAGGTCACACTGAATTCCTCTAAGGTCTGTTTCAACTCTGAGAACAAAGGCCTGTCGGATGCTACAGGGTCAACATTCCCACAGCAGCCCCCGGAAAGGACTGTTCATAGACACCGACAACTGGAAAAGAACAAGGATCTCAGAGTCCAAGCCTGTCTCTCTGGGCTGACATCTCCTAAACCTCACAGGACATTTTAGGACACCTGATCCCTAAGTCCACGTAGAGACTGGACTACAGGCCAGACTCGTTCCTCCTGGACCTATTGAGGCGGCTCCTCCATCATACTACGGCCCAGAATTTGCTTTATGTAGCTAGTGGCATTTGAATGGCAGCATTAGATTCCCCAAATCCTCATTCTCCTGTGGCTCACAATTGTTGGGATGAGGATTTCCAGGATGCCCTGCCTCTCTGGTTGGCTTCTGCTACTCTGCTTCTATCTCCCGTACTCCTCATCTCCTGGGCTTCGTCCCTCATAATCCACCAATCCTGACCACTGACAACACTCTCTTCCAAGGAGGCGAGCTGTGAGAGCCCCTTACCAGATTAGTGAAGATGTATGTGTAATAGGCTGACACCATCCCAAGTTCGGCTGCCTGCAAGGCAAAGAGAAGGAGATTAGAGAAGAAAACAAAAACTCACTTGAAGCAAATGAGCAGTAAGGGTTCCAAGTGTCTGCCATTTGTCTGGCCTACTGCCCCTTGGCACCAGGCAAAACAGAACATCTTGATTGGTTCTTATGTTGCCCTTGATCTTGGAGGATGGAGCAGAGAAATTCTGGTCTCAAGAGCGGGGTCTCTCCACCTCTCCACCTCCACTATGCAGTGGCACGCATAGTAGCTGATGTTCTTATACACAACATACTCCCACGGTTATAGCCAGATCTTACTGAAACCAAAAAGGCTTTTAGGGAAATGAAGCAAATAATAAAACCGACTACAATAATGATCTCCACAGCTATTAACAATAACAATGGCTAACATTAACCCACTGTTTAGTATGTGTCAGGCACTCTTAAGCATTCTACATGGGATAACTCTATGAGGTTGGCACTATTATTCCTCCCCAACCCCATTTTACAGCTGAGGAAACTGAAACAATGAAAAGCTAAGTGACTTGTACAAGATCACATGTCTCATTACCGGAAAAGATAAAAGCAAATCCAGGCAGCCTAATTGCAGTGCTTATATCCAAACTATACTCCCCCTTCAGGACTGTTACATTGATGGAACCACAAACACATCTCTCTTCGGGCATAGATAAGAGAGTCCGTAGGTTGTAGCAATGAAAACGAACTCCACTCCGTCAGAGTGCAGGGCACACTCATAAGGGTATTCTTGAACCTGCGGTAACGTCAGAAACAAGTGACTCATTTGCAAACCTGGGTCCTTTATTCGTAGTAAGGAGTCAGTTGCCTGTGACATGCCTCACCCTTGATCACAGCGCATCAGTGTGACATCACTCCGCAGCTGAGAATTGCTACATCAGAAGAGTCTCCCTTCTGTCTGATCTTTGTACCCGTCATAAATACCCCTAGCCAACCTTCCCTGTCAGTGTGCCTGGCTTTGAGTGTGACAGGTGCTATAGAAACTGACATGTAGATCAGGTAAATGATGAGCTCCGCTCTCTCCAGGGCCCTCATCCCTCCTGACAGTTGGCTAGATTTTCCTAATGTATCCTGTAGCCCTGGGCCACTGGGAGACCGTTTTGTCATGACTATTGAGGTGGATGGAAGAGAAACCAGACCAAGGATGATTACATTTTCCTCTTACATAGTGTTTATCTCCCAAGGAACTCAAATAATTTTGTGAGCATTCTTTTTTTTTTTTCCTTTGAGTCAGAGTCTCCCTCTGTCACCCAGGCTGGAGTGCATTGGCGCGATCATGGCTCACTGCAACCTCCGCCTCCCAGATTCAAGTGATTCTCCTGCCTCAGGCTGTCAGGTAAGCTGAAATTACAGGCACCCACCACCACACCTGGCTAATTTTTGTATTTTTAGTAGAGACGGGATTTCGCCATATTGGCCAGGCTGGTCTTGAACTCCTGACCTCAAGTGATCTGCCCGCCTTGGCCTCCCAAAGTGCTAGGATTACAGGCGTGAGCCACTGTGCCCGGTCATTCTTACAGGAACCCTCGCAGGCTCCCTGAGGAACAGGTTGGGGGTAATTCTATCATGGTTGTTCCAATGGGAAGCTGGAGGGCAAAGGCTCAGGGGCTGCAGCAGGAGTCTCGGGGCACAATGGAGCTCAAGGCCTCTTTGGTGAGGCTCCTTCTTCCTCCAGGCCAAGCTATATTTCCTCCTCCACTTTCAAGAGGATGGTGTGGCAAGATGACCAACCCATCCTATGCCCCACTGCACACACACAATCACACAGTCCAAGTAAAAGTGCTGCTGCATCTCGCCCCTGCCTAGACGGATGCGACCCACTGAGCGAGCCCACTGCTTACAGCGACGGGCTGGGGGCAGAGGGACCGGGAGGGGCCACAGTCGGGAGCTAAAACCCATTTTGTGAAATCTGCTGTCCTAGAGTTAAAAGACAAGAGATCCTTGGTTTTTAAGGCCTGATTTCTGGGTAAACATGGAGTTTGTTGCTGGAACAGCCGCTCAATAAAATCAGGGATTACTCTGCAAATCCTCCTGAAATCAAGAGGTGGCAGAGTGCTGCCAAGCTCCGGGGGCTGGGCTCCCACGTGCACACCGAGTCTCCCAGAGTCCCCGTGTGCTCTCTGCCCACTCTGCTTCCCACCCTTGCTGAGGCCCTGCGAGGCCCTGTTGTGCCCTCCTGGAGGGGGGAGTACGGAACCCCAGGGAAGCATGAGGACAGAGGCCAGGCCTGATGGAACACCTGCCTGCCTGGGAAGGCAAATGGGAAAAGGGAACAGGCTTTCCTGAAGCCTGGCTGCTCATTCATCAGTGTGGCTCCCAGGTCACAGGAGTTGGGGCTGACAGGTGGGCTCAGGAAAGACAGACCTGAGGCATCGAGCAGAACCATTTGCTAATAATGATCACTACACTACAGGCAGAGCTTCCTTCAAAAGCATGGCCACACACACACACACGCACACACACACAAATCTACAAAGCGTTTTTAATTAACATACCCAGTATTGGCAAGGGTGCTATAAGACACCTATACGCTGCTGGAGAAAGTGTAAACTGTTACAGCCTTTCTAAAACGCAATCTGGCAAATCATATCAGAATCCTTAAAAGCATGCATACCTTTAACTCAGTAATTCCACTTCTAGAACTATATGCTGGGGAAATATACACGAATGTGTATAAAGATTTATGTACAAAGATGTGCATCTCAGCATTATTTATTGTAGCAAAAGATTTGAAACAACCTGTATCTCCAACAATAAAGTGATGTTTAAATAAATTATGGGACATCTGTATGATAGGAAATGAGGCAGCCATTAAAATATTTCTAGAAAAATGTTTAATGACATGGGGAAAATGCATGGCATAGAATGAAGTGGGGACAAAAAGCGCTTACAGAAAAGTTTGTGCAGTATGACAATAATTTGGGGGGAAAATGTGTCTGTAAAGCAGAAAAAAACAGACATCAAAATTTAACTGTGGTTAAACAGCTCTGGGTGATAGGATTGCTAATAATTTTTAGTTTCTTCTATGTGCTGTCTTTTCCATACATTAAAAAATTTCAACAATGAACTAGTAATATTGTTCGAATTAAAAAAATCATAGTGCAACATCAGACGCTGGGAGCCACGGAGGGCAAGAGACTGGCCCCCAGAGGCTCCTACCAGGGCTGTTCAGGCAGGCTCCAGCTACCGCAGGGGGACCTGTGTATTCTGAGCTACCCTCCACAAGGGACATGTGTCTGCTAAGCTGAAGCTCTCACTCCCTGCTCCCAACCTTCCCTAAAGAGGGCCCCTCTCCTCCCGTGAAACTTGGAGGAGCTTTTCCACCCTTAATGACTTCATTGATCATAGCTCCAGGCATAAGGAAGACAGAGAAAAAGACAAAAAGAGAAAAATGCTCTGTTTCTGTGTGTGTGTGTGTGTGTGTGTGTGAGAGAGAGAGAGAGAGAAAGAGATACCGTCGTGTGTGTGTGTGTCAGTGTGTGTGTCAGAGAGAGAGAAAGAGAGAGAATGTGAGTTGGGTATACGCACACAGACAGACATGGCTTTGGAGCTCTGGAAGATTACTATAGCAACGGGCTGAAGGGACAGCCCTCGGTACTGAGAGAACTCATTCAAATCTCTTATCAACTCTGAGTCAAAAACGAGCTGGGGAGGGGCAGCGGGGAGGGAGGGGGGAAGGAGAGGAGACAATCATCTGAGTGTCTGCGGGCTCCTCACAGCTTGGCAGAGGTTAACGAGGAGCCTCGCTGCCCTAGTGGAAGATGGCAGGTTGTGTTTAAATGTGCAATTAAAATGGCATTAGAAGAAGCCAGTGCGCCTAGAGAGGTTGGGGGAGCCGCCAAGGGGCCTGGAAACGGGGCCCGCTCTCTCCGAGGTTCATGCCCAGCCCAGCCACCAGCCCAGGAACTGGCGTCAGGTGACTCTGATGCTGCCCAGCTATTTCCAGCTGTTTGTCCTGTGTGGGGCCCCTAGGCTCCTGATTTCTCTCTCTCTTGGATGAGCCTCACTCACACAGTTCTGGTTTCCAGTGTGCATGTTCTGACTCAGGCGCCAGCACTGCCCCTCCGACTCCAGGAGCATAGGAGACACTACCTGATTTGCAGATAAGAGAGGGCTGTGCAAGCTCGGCCCTGCTCCACTCAGGGCTGGGCCTTGGACGCATCTGTTCATCTCCCAGAGTCTCAGTTTCTTCATCTGTGGGGGAAGACATTATACCTACCTCACGTCATTGCTAAGAGCTCTAGGCCAGGAGACTGACTGCACAGAAGCTCTGTGTAAACTGTTGTGGACCGTGTCAGATTAAAGACAGAGCTGGCATTCAGCAGGACACACTGGTGTGACGGTCCTATTGTGAAACTACGGAAACATTTCTACACCATTTGGCAAACAGCCTCTGCCCAAGCCCCTTGGGTGCCCCACCCTGGCCCCTCCTAGGAACCCACAGACCTCTCCGCAGAGCCCTTCGCAGAGTCCAAGTTTGGCAGCATCTAGGTGTCTCCGCTGCCTACTGCCCTGCTGCCCCAGTGCTGAAAACGACATCCCCCTCACCCTGCTTTCTTCAGTTTTCGGGAACCGCCCATTGAAAACGGAAGCACAGGGAGAGGTTTGTCAGAGTTCAGGTCCGGCCCGGGGCTCCGTCAGCCTCAGCTCAGGAGGACCCTCAAGGCAAGGAGTGCGGAGGGTGGGAGCTCAGCAGGGGAGGGGAGAGAGGGAGGCTCCCACCTTCAGGAGGATGGTGTGGGACATGGAGGCGTTGGCGTGGATGATGATGGTGGCCGTCTTGTCGTCCCGGATCTCCTTGAGGAGCGGGGTGGGGTCCCGGGTGTCATCCAGCATGCGGACGGACAGCGTGTCCTTGGAGATAAGGAATTGCCGGAGCAGCTTCTCTAGGTTTAAAAGGCCTGGAGGGGAGAGAGGATGAAGCCCCTGAGGGTCCACAGAGCTGCCTCTAGAGACACCTGGGCAGAAATGGAAAGGCACGGAGATGTGTGCTGGAAGTGGGGTTGGGGGGTCTGGCCCCATTGCCAGCATTAAGGAGCCAGATCATAACCTGAGCAGGTTTCTCAGCCTCTTTGGGCTTCAATGATCACATCTAAATAAAAGAACACTTCAGAGCCCATCACCTCCCCCGACTCCCTAGAGAATGTTCTTTCAAGGTAGAGACAGAAGCTCCCTTGGAATAAGAGAATCCCCTCTCCTCCTCACCACCCTCAAAAGCTGGACAGGATGCACAGAGACCAAGACCTGGGTTCAGAGACCACCAGGCCTGAGTCTGCTTCTCTAATCCATGGACTTCTCCATGTGGCCAGTTGTCTTGGCCTCAGTGTCCTCATCTGAGAAGTTAGAATTATCACAGCAGTCAGCACTCAGTTCCAAGGCAAGGATTACAGGAGGCCACGTGTGAAGGGCTCAAGCCCGAGCCTCGGACACGGTAAACCCTCATAAATGTTACACTGGGCTCTGTAAGAGCCTTTGTTTTCATTTTGGAGGTGGAGGAGCAATTCCCTAAGATCCCAAGGCCCAGAAAACAGATCTAGCAAAACGCTTTGAACTCCTCAGAGCCTCGTGGCTGCATTAAGACAAAATATTATGATGATCATAAGAGAACAGGCTTTGAACTGCACTCCAGCAGGCAAGAATCTGGGCCCAGAACAAAACAGAAAAAAGGGACTGTGCACCAAGGACCTACCCCTGCCCTCCCTCACTCCCTCCTCTCCTACCCACCAGCTATTTGATGCCTAGGGCCCTGGTGGGAGGAGGGGTTCCGGAATGACGTCACTGAGACAAGAGGGTCTTAATTCTGCCTTGTCTTTGGAAAGGCATGCCAGCCAGGAGAGGGTATGTGTGTATGGGGTGGGGGTGGGAAGTGTGGGGGATGGGGTGATGTGGGGGTGCAGGAGGCAGAGTGTGGTCTCCATTCCCATTGAAAAAGACATCATGTAGGCGTTTGCTCCCAAAAGCAATGAGAAGGGCAACATTTATCAAATGTTTACTGTGCTCCAGTTAATGTGCTAAACACTTTCCATGGCTTATCTCATGGAAGTCCTCACAACAATCCCATAAAGTAGTATAATCCCCAGCACAGAGGAGATTCGGAGGTAGAGGGAGGACGAGCAACTGGCCTCACACACTGGGATGGCGAGGGAAGAGGTGGCTTTCTAACCAGTCCAAGGGCCCGTGCTGCTGGTTTCTGTCCTGGCTGATGGGATATTCAACCCGGGGATGGCTTGACTACAACCCCAGAAGACTCTTTCCTGCACAGGTTCCTCACTGCCCAGGCCAAAAGGAGGAAGAGCCTCCCACCCACCTCCTCGCGTTGCAGACTGGTGACATGACTTGCTCAGCACACAGAGACGCGGGGACACAGCTGGGACCAGAATTCTGATCTCCGTTTTTTGATTTCCATCCATCCCTCTTCCCATGACACCAGGCTGCCTCTGAGGACAAACTCAGCTGGAGGCAGCAGGCACAGTGCCCGGGAAGGCCCAGAGACACGCGTCTCAGGACTTAGGGGAGGGAAGCTGATGTGGGTGTGTGTCTGTGCTTTTTCTTTTTTCACAGGAAGGAGAGGATAGTGGAGTTGGAGCCCAAGGGCCTGGCCTGATAGAGACAGGAGCTCTGGGAAGGTGCTGCCAACCCGTCTTCGTGTCACCTGTTTTGAGAAGGCTTTCTAGGGAGCTGGAGGTTGTGGCAGGTCGGGGAGAAGCCCTGGGAAGGCCTGTTATTTATAAAGATGCTTCAGAAACAGCCCAGCTGTGCAAACCACAAAACTGGCCTTTCCTCTCTTCCCTGACAGGGTTTCAAGGGAGACTTGTAGAGACTCTCTGCCGCCACCGTCTGTGCCCTCACAGCCCCTCACCACCGGCCCCCACAACAGTGGCACTGACGTTGCAGGTTACTCCCTGCCAATCCTGATCCTGAAGCTCTGGATTCAAGCTCAGGGTCAGCCCTCCTTAGCTACGTGACCTTGAGAAGTTGTCTAACCTCTTCAAGGCTCCGTTCTTCATCTGTAGAATGGGCAAAGGAGGATGAGAACTCACTGTGATCATATGAGAAACCGCCGGGAAATGGGATGTATGGTCTCCATGTTACTCTTGTATTTACCCATCCCCAGAAGTGCTCCAAGGGCAGGCACAGTGAGGCAGCTGAAGAGTCAGGCAAGGACACGTCTGTTCAACCAACAACAGGACACCAGGCAGAGAAGACGGGTCACATACAATCCCTGCCCTCAGGAGTTTAGGGTGGCGGCACTCGCAGCTAAGTTGATGATGAAGTTCAAATCACATCCCCGTTTTGTTTGGCAGCCTGAATTTAATTTTTTTTTTTTTAGGGGGCAACCTCATTTTGTCCTATATGTAAAATGGAGAGAGTATTTACCACCTCTTCCTCAGAGACGATGTGAAAAGCTACCTCCTGCCTGGACAAAGGTCGGGGTGCCTGATCCAAAAGACACTCCAACAAGGAGGTACAGGGAGGCCACAGAGCTGGGGCACCCGGAGTCTCAGCTGTCTCCTGGGCAGGCTGTGGGTGACGGTGCCCCACAGTTGGAGAGGTGAACAAGTAAGGGGTGGCAGATGCAACCCCCCACCCAGGTCCTAGAATGGAGCAGGAATAATTTTTAGAGCCTGACTGGGAAAGAGGCCAAATCCCCTGGGATTCTTCAGACAGGCAATGAAATTCAGTGGGACGAGACAGGGAAGGCTGGGGAATGACAGCAGGATTATGCACAGCATGGTGATGCCTGGCAGAGGCCGCCGGGAATGCTTTATTCCTTTGCAAATGGCAGGTGCACGAAACTCCCAGGGAAAGAGAGCCCCCAGATGTCAGATAAACTGGGGACCTGTTCCAATCAATTCCCAGCCTGCTACCCCTTGGAGAGTTCTGCTGTCCTTTAAACAAAGAATAGCATCATTCCCCATCCCATGTAACATGCTCTGTGTGCTGAGACGCAGGGCAGGGAGAGGAGAGAGGCGGCGGCAGCGAGTCCTCTGGGAGGTCCGCATCCCGCCCAAAATTGCCTATTAGTCAGTTGCTCTGTTTCCCAACCTGGACACACCTGGCTCAGCACAAAGAACCCAGTCTGGGACATGAGTGCCAACTCCAGCACTGCCAGGCAGGTTACTATGGCAATGGCCCTACCCCTCTGTGCCTCAGTTTCCTCTTCTGTGGAATAAGGGGAGTGACTACATTACAGGGTCATCAAGAGGATGGTAACTACAAGGGGCTTAATAAATCTTGTTTCCCACTCACCCCCCAACTGCCCTTTATCCCATCTCCTTCCTGAAACCTTCTCTCCATTCTCCAGCCTCCACCCCCTTCTCACTTCTCCCACCTCTTACAGGATTATCCAACCCACCAAAGATAGACTTGGTTTTAAACCATAGAAAGTATTTGAGAGCACATATATGCGTATGTATGTATATGTGCATATATGTGTGTGTATATATTTATAATATACAGTCTATGTATAAATGATTTCAGTGTTCGGTAGGGAACCCATTTCAGACTTCCCGGCACATCCCCAGGGTAGGCAGGGTGCATGGTGCTTGCTGGATTGGACTGATGTAGAGACTCTGGGGGAAGAAAGTAACTACATCCTAACGGGTCAGGGGAGCAGCAGTGCCAGGCAGGAACCGTCGCCATGTCACTTGAGGAGCAGCTGACTTGGGTGCCTGGCCGGAGGGAGAGTGGGAAGGGCTGTCACGAGGCAGGCTAGCTCTTGGCAGCCTCAAGGATTAAACCCGGGAGTCATGAGGGAGTGGAAGTCACAGGGAGACAGACTCCAGCTCAACATAAGGAATAACCCTTCCTTTATGATGCAGTGGGCTGCCCATGAGGTAGTGAGTTCCCCATCACTGGAGGTAGTCAAGGAAAGACTGCAGCCCCTCTTGAGGATCACTGTAGACGGAATTAAACCAGTGGATGAAAATTTGAACTAGAAAAACACTGATGTCTTTCCAGCCCAGAGATGCTCTAATTTTATGAATCAGAAGAGGATACTTTTTAATTCTAGGCAGTGGAAGAAATTTACATTAGGAAAAGTGTGGCTTCGTTACATTGAGAATATTGAGTTTTCAGGGCAGTTTGGCATTTTCGAATTGTCATTCTCCTCACCTTTATCTGTTTAATGGAACTAAGGGATTCACCAAAGGCAGCTGCCATCACAGGGGTTAAAAGCTGCTCTCTTCCCCACATCCCATCCACTTCCACCCCCACTCTCCTCTCCTTCGGGACCATGGCCCAGCATCAGGCCTGCCTGCCTGCCAAGTCTAAGGCGGAGAGGGGCCTAGGGAACCTATTAGCCTTGCTCAGGATGCAGCGGGACGGATCGATCAGAGACTCGGCAGGCAGGCTGTTCTGGGAGGAAGAAGGGAGGCTGGCTTCTGGAACTGGAAGGCAGGGGCCAAGACGGGTGGGAGGAGGATGTCAAGGCAGGGAAAGGCACAGCCGGGGTGGACACAGCTGCAGGACAAGGACACGAAGACCTAAGTGATGGGTTCGCAGGGGACACAGAGGACCCTTGTATCAAAAAATACTATAAAAATAAACATCTCTTTCAACCAGCTTCCTTCCCTCTCTACTAGCTGGAGTAGCACCTTGGTCTGGGACCAGCACTTTTTAACCTTGTGGGAAGCAGCTCATGTAGTACTGACCTTGGCAGATTGTGGTAAGGATTTAATGAGATAGTATGAATTCAATATGGCACATAGTGTCCTAAACCTAAACCTTCCCCTTCCCCCTGCCAGGTGCCCATGCCTCAGGGTGTGTGGTTGTTGGACCTCTTCCATGAAGCGAACCCTCACCAGAGGGACAAGATGAGGGTCCAAGGTGTCCCTAGGTGGGGAAGGGGCACAGAACAAGTTCAAGTTCTGGAATGATGTATTTTACCTGCATCCCAAAT